GGGGGGTTTAAACTGGGGGTATTCTAATTTACATTATAATGTATTGCTTAGACTTCTGTATAGCTGGTGGTGTTCTGCATTGATGTATAATGATTTATACAGCAATGCTGAATACCACCAACTATACAGGACGGCAAGTCCCAGCAATACATTATATTAAGTAGGGATGCACCTGTGCCAATACTGGGCATTATCACAAGTACTCGTACTCGTGAAAATGACCCAATACTAAACGCAGATACCGGCACTGGCGAAACTACCAGGGCTGCATCAGTCGCATTTGCGACCAGGCCCTGGTGTTCCGCCAGTTTGGGGGGCCCAGAGAGACCAGAACACTGACATTGATTTGCTATGTGTTCCGGAGATCACACTGCGGCCGGGGGGCGTACCTGCGTTGCCATTGACTTTAATGCAACAACACGCCCCCTCCCGCCCCAGAATGCAGTGAGGCGGCCGGGATGCGATCCAGTGCGTTCCAGCACGAATCGGGCTGGAACTAGCCCTGAAAGTCATAACATACATAGAGGGGAATTTATCAAAACTGGAGCAGACAGAATCTGGAGCAGTTACCCATGGCAACCAATCAGCATCCACCTTTTATTTTTAAACCTTAACTGAAGAGAGAAGCTGATTGCTTGTCATAGGCAACTGCTCCAGATACTTTTGCTTCAGTTTTGATAAATTCCCCTCATACTGTTTGAGTGTGTGTGTAGGCCAATGTAGTTGGATCTGTATGTGCGTTATAATCGAAATTGATCGATTAAAAAAAATTTTGATTAATCGAACAGAAAATTTTGAATCATTACCAGCCCTAATATATTTCAGTTTAGCAGTCCTTAGATTTGTTTTATCTTTTTTTTCCAAGGTAAAGCTGTAAATAACACACTTGCTGTCCTAGGTTTCGGTTCGCTCACTCACTCTTTTGAATCTATGGAAGTGGCCATGGTCGTCACTAGGCTTCTCTACCAGTTTGGGATACAAAATGTCTTTCTCTCTTTATCTTCATTACATGGGAGGTTAAGGGAATTAGTAAATTACAGAATATATCTTGTAAGGAAGATAAATAGGGCAGCTAACCATTATTTTTATAAATGATTAGTTAGACAATTTTCTTCTCTTTAACTGCCTCCGGGCCGGCCGTAGTAGAAAAACGGCCGGCCCGGAGCTCTCTAGATCTGAGCGGGCGTCTTTAGACGTCCGCTCAACTCGAAGTCGCCGGCCAATGCTATTCAATGGAGCTGTCTTAACTCCATGTCACGGTCGCAAGTCGCTTCTACCGGACCCTTTTTTCGGCGGATTTTGCTTTTTTTCTATGGAGCCCGACTGAGAAGGTCGCGCTACCGTCGCTGGATCATCGCCCCGAAAGTCGCGCTATCCCGGCCGCTGCAAAGGTATGTCGCTATGTGTGAACGAGGTCTTAACTGATGAGCGGTAAAAGCTTTTAAAGTGCCGCCTATGGCCAATTTTGGGTATGGTATTTTTCTGCGATTTCGCGGGTGCGCGCAATTTTAAAGCTTGACATGTTTGGTGTCTATTTACCCGACGTGACCCGATCTTTTATATTTTACCAAAAAACTGGTTAATAGTAAATGTTTCATAATATAATGTAAAAAAAACTTTTTTTCTCAAATTTTCTGTAATTTTTCCTAATTATAATAAAAAATAAAAACCCCAGGGGTGATTAAATACCACCAAAAGAAATCTCTATCTGTCCCCAAAAAATGGTATAAAATTAATTTCAGTACAGCGTTGCATGACGGAATAAACGTCAGTCAAAGTACCGCAGCGCTGAACACTGAAAAATGGCCTGGCCAGGAAGGGGGTCTAAACACCTAGTCTTGAAGTGGTAAATGAATAATCGAATAAAAGAAACAAAATTAGTACCGTCATTTATTTAAAATAAAATACACAAATGCAGTGTTACAGACCTACAATTTATTTCTCAATAAAACATTACGCACATTTTTTGAAATTGCACTGCACTGGAATGCAGGGCATTGCAGTACCGTGCGTTCCAGTGCATTTGGGATCCATTGAAATGAATAGCACCGCAATGAACTTCCTGCAACAAAAGTTGTCAGGCTGAAACTGAAAATGACACTTCCCACATTTATTTTTATATATATATATATAATTTAATTTGTATATATTATGTCAGACATTTTAATTAGGTTAATAGATTTAATATAATGTGAATTGTAAACATTTTGTGACATATATTTTTTTACTTTATTACTGGGTCAGTCTCCTATTGGATATTTCAAATTGCAATAGCAGGCTGGCTATTGCACCCGCCCACTACAGCCCGAAAAATTAAACTGAATGCTGCCACCACAGATGAGCTGCAATATATTCAATTGTTCTGACAATTTTACATGCAAGTAAATGTTAAACTACATGTGTTGACAGCCATTGAGATATTAATATTTAAGGGAGAAAAAAGTTATGTTGGTGTGAACAAAAACTCTTTAAGTCAGGGCCAAGATATGTTATCATAATCACCAGTGGTTAGTGTTTGTGGCCGCTCCACTTCAGGTAGTAGGGAGTGAGCTCTATGCTGGATATTGTCCGTATGCTAGCAGGTTATGCAAGTCTTCGCGACCCGGTATTACATTTTTGGTTAGCACTCCCTCACAGGGAAGGAGGGGGGTGTGTGTGTGTGGAGGAATGAGGGTTGACAATGGGGAGACAATGTTAAAAACGTGGGTAGGGGGGGAATTGGATCAGCTGACAGTCCCCACCAGAAGTGTAGAGCCCACATCAGTGCCACATCTCCAGCACTTGGAAACTGCTACAACAATGTAATTAAAAAAATATATATATTTTAGACCATTTCATTTAGACCATTATTTGTAAGAGGATTCTTGGATCTTCAGTTTCACTGAACTCTTCCTTTTTTTTTCTGCCATGCAAAGGTTCTTTTATGTGTCTTTTATATGTTTTTCCTTTTGCTTGGATAGGTTTTTCTATTCATGCAAATGCTGCTCTTTATTGCCTGAGAATTGTCTCCACAGTTTTGCTGGACATAAGCTAGATGATAAACTAGCAGAAATCAGGTCAAATCTTCTTTGACATAATGTTGGACTTCCTTGACTTCTTGTCTCTCTGGGTCAAAAAGAGTCTGAATTCGGTCTATTCAAAATGTAAAAAAATTAAGCTTTTTTGGAAAAAGGCTTGATTCCTGTTCCTGTACTGCTGGATTTAAAATTTTTGGACAACAACTTACCATCTATCACTCAAAATGCCTATCTAAAATCCTAATGATGTTCTTTCAGGACTGACTGTTTTACAGTGAGCCTTTAAGCATATATTAACTGTGAAGAAAATCTTTAATTGTGTCATTACATCAACAACAAGAATATACAAGAGCCTTTTCTTATATTTCCTTTAAAACAGGATAATGTTAAAAGAATTTATTTCGGAATTAAACGTCAACAATCGAAATTTGAGACTGACGTTTAATTCCAGTGATCGGGAAATCCCATTTTTGGACCTAATGATTAGGTTTGGGACGGGGAGACTGACCACGAGAACCTACAGAAAGGAGACCGCAGCCAATACACTTCTTCATGCAAATAGCCATCACCCCCTGTCACTCAAACAAGGAATCCCCACAGGACAGTTCCTGAGAATTAAAAGGAACTGCACTGAACATAAAGACAGAGGGGATACTCACACAGAACCCTCCGAACAAGTAAAACAAAAGTAGGAAAGAAGAATAGGGCAGAGATTTTAAAGGGTAAAAACAACAAGAAGGGAGAACCGAAAGAAAAGGTAGCAAATCATGTGAGAATGATCATGCAATATGGGTCAAGCTTGCCAAAGCTGAGACGAATCTTTGAAAAACATTGGCATGTTCTTAACCTATGCCCGACACTCTCCGATATAGTCGGCCCCCGTCCACTTCTGACAGCAAGGAGAGCTAAAAACCTGAAAGACCATCTAGTAAATTCCGAATACAGACCAAGTAAAGATAATTCATTTATATCAGTGTTACCCAAAATAAAAGGAATGCATCCCTGTGGTAAATGCCACATATGTCCATATGTAGAAAATACAAAACATTTTCAAGATTCAGAGGGAATAAAATCATATCAAATTACCCAGTTCATTAACTGTAATACAGAGAAAGTAATATACATGCTGGAATGCCCTTGTAAGAAAGCATATGTTGGGAAAACAAAACGACAGTTACGCATACGTATAGGAGAACATTTAAGGGATTTAAAGAATAAAGACATGGATAGCCCCATAGCAATACACTTTGCAGACCATCATAATTCCTCCCTAGAAGGCCTGAGGGTAAAGGGGATCTATGCCTTGAACCTACCATCAAGAAGAGGAGATTTTGACAAAATACTCCTGCAGAAAGAAAAATGTGGGTTTACAGACTCAACACCCTGTTACCCGCAGGCCTAAACAATGAAATGAATCAAAATGTAAAAAAATTAAGCTTTTTTGTAAAAAGGCTTGATTCCTGTTCCTGTACTGCTGGATTAAAAAATTTTGGACAACAACTTACCATCTATCACTCAAAATGCCTATCTAAAATCCTAATGATGTTCTTTCAGGACTGACTGTTTTACAGGGAGCCTTTAAGCATATATTACCGTAACTGTGAAGAAAATCTTTAATTGTGTCATTACATCAACAACAAGAATATATAAGAGCCTTTTCTTATATTTCCTTTTAAAACAGGATAATTAACTCAGCCTTCCTTGCATCCAAAACCTTTTTGTCTTTTTTTTGTGCACTAAAAGAGATCAACTAGAGATTGATCCATTACCTCAGCCGTAAAATCTACATCAACCAAATAAGATGAATCATCATTTGTTGAAGTTTACAAGTCCTTTAGGGACAAGTTCAAGAAATATAAAAGTGCAATCCACTTAAGCAGTTATTTCCAACTGAAGGGCAAGAATAGCCTCAGTTGTTGTACATCAAATATTGTTGGCCAGGACTGCACCTTGCAGAATTTGTAGATTAACAGGGCTATTCACAAAAGGGTGAAGAGTTTGAAGAAGGCAGGAGAAGTGAACAATCTAGGACAACATAGCTGAACTGTAAAGTGAGCTGAATTGGAGAATTTTTCCAAATCCGCTATTTTGTCCTAGATTGTTCACTTCTCCTGCCTTCTCCAAACACCCTTTTGTGAATAGCCCTGTAGATGTCCAAACCAAGTAAGAGCTGACCATGAATCATTGTATTCTCTTAAAGTGACATTAAACCCTCAGATTTTTTAACATAAACCATTACTGTAATGTGTGCCTTACTGTAATCCATGGTAGTTTCCCTTCTCTTTGCTGCTCTTCCTTTTAAATCCTCATGTCTTCTCATGCTTGGGGAGAACTTCCCTTTTGCAGCTGAGTGCCTCTTCCTGTAGTGCTGGCTCAGGTTGCAAACCTACACACAGACACCATGTATCCATTCCAGAGACAAGGCAGTCTGCTGCAAAACAGAAGTTCTGCCCAGCATGAGAACAGATTTAAAAGGAAGAGCAGCAAAGAGAAGGGAAACAACCATGGATTACAGTAAGGCACACATTAAAGTATTGTTTTATGTAAAAAAATCTGAGGGTTTATTGTCACTTTAATAATTATACACAGTACATCTCCATTTTGAAAATATGGCTTGCACTCATATGCTTTTTTCTATGCACCTTCCACATCAACACATTAGTTACCTTTCCTTGAATTGTTTCCATCTAAGATTAATTTGGCAAGCAACTGTAGAATATGCTGATGGGCTACTAGAAGAATGGACTAAATGGATGCCATGATTTAGTAAAGCTGTTTATTGGGGGCTCATGGACATGGCATTATCTGTAAGCATAGACCATTGTTTCTCATTATTTAAGCATATTGTAGAATAAGTCCACTTTAACATTAGCAGGAAGATTTCTTGGCTCGAAATCCCACCAAGACAATAACAGTGTTGCTTGGCTTTAAGTTTTAGTTCTTTTTTTGTGGTTTCTGCGTGGGGTCCCCCCTTAAAATTCATACCAGACCCCTATCTGGGATAAGGGTCTGTTATAGATTTTTGAGATGGCACATGCCGTTAATTTTTATTTACTTTTTTACATTTTAGAGTTGGTTACGTCAAAATTTGTAATGCTAAGTAAAAAGGTTGAAAAATGCTGGTTTAGAGCAATTAACCTCTTTTGACAACTTTTGAGATATCATTGACATGGAGAGTTCACCGTTTACACTCATCAGGTTTCTTTCAGTGTATTGTGTTTTCTATTTTCAATATGCTTATCTAAAAGTTTTTGTGGGTTTTTTTTCTCATAGTGCATAAGTTGTGTGCTGATAACCTATAACCCTGTGACTTTTTTTGCTGCTTCACAGTATCTTAAAAGACTGTTTTGCAACATTCTTTTTCAGGTTGGTCTATAATACCACAACCAAAACTACAGCTTCTCCAGAGGGAGTTGATGTAAGGGTCCCAGGCTTTGGACAGACATACCCATTGGAATTTCTTGATCCTAGCAAAAGGAGCTTAGGTAAATAAAAGAACAATACTCTTGCCAGAAACCTGTGCATTATAAACTTGTAAACTGTTTAGAGTCATGCGTTTAAAGTTCATCTTTGGGCATGTCTTTCATCTTCTCAACTTTTAAATGTTCACCCTTACATAATGTATAGTTCATTTTGTAGATACAGGGCTGCATGGTTGTCATCAGATAGTGAGAGAGATTAAAGTTGTTTACCCACAAGGTTCATTAAATCAAAGGAGAATTTTACTCTTTCTGTGCAAATGTGTGATGTGAAAACAATGACAATAAAGAATGTAGCCTTCTCTTGACTAGGCAAACAGACCACTTTAGATTGAAAATGTAAGCATGGACAAAGATCTTAGGGCTAGTTCACACCATCCTCAGTGCGTTCCGGCCCAATTGTGACTGGATCGCCTCACGGCCGGCTCACTTTGTTTTGGGGCGGGCGGTGAATTGAACTTAATAGCAACGCAGCAACGCCCTCCAACCGCAATGTGATCGACTACATGGGAACGCTTGGCACATCAGTGCCTGCGTTCCAGTCTGGTGCGGTCAGAAAAAATAGTGTGTGCACTATTGCAGCCGGAGGGCGTGGGGGCCTATGTCATTGAGTTCAATGCAGCGCCCCCAAAATAAAGTGAGCTGCCCGGAATGCGATCCAGTATGTTCCAGCCACATTCGAGGATGGTGTGAACTAGCCCTTAGTGTTCTAGTTACAAATCCTCTTGGGAGAAAAATGTGTATTGTAGTTGATATAATAGAATATTACTCACAGGTAAGCCTAGGACAGTGTTTGGCATTTGTATTTTTTCTTGCTATAGGAATTTTTGAGGTAGTATAACATTCATCATAATTACATCCCATCCATTTCTTTACCCATTAATCTGCAGGATTTATTCCAAATTAATATTCTCTGAGTAAACTCTGTGGAATTCCCAGAGGGATTATTCCACATTGAAACGCTTGAGCATTTATCTTAAAATTAGAGTCCGTTACCATGCATGTGACTTTTAATCGGAGCGCTTAAGATATATGACACAAAGACTGAAAGTATGTTTGCAGTCTTTTTATCCAATTACATGTCCATAGGCTTGATGTACAGTCAATGTGTTTTGTGAAATGAACCTCCTCCTTCCAGACAGGTGTCGACACAATACTTGATATAATAGTGTCAATAGTCTATAGCAATCTACATAATAAATATAAACAATATCACAAAAACATAACTATAATAGCCATGTACTTGTAACAATTGCAGTATGTTTTACTTGGTATAAACATATACTGTATTTGCAGGATCTCTTGTCGCCCAGAAAAAAAAAAAAAGCCTTAAAGTGGTTTAGAACCACTTTAAGGCTGAGCACTAACATAATCAGCTAGGTGGAGTGTTGCTTGCATGCTCGGCGGCTTTTTTTCCTGCCATTTAGTCCAGAGGAAGCCTCCTCCCACTGCTGCCTCTCCTTTTCAAGCACTTTGTGGATCAACCATTCTCCGGTCTCCTTTCACTGTCTACCTACAGTGACTTGATCGTACATGTATAACAATCAAAAGTTAGGGTTTAATGAGATGTCATAACCATTGCACAAGTAAAGTCACAGAAGGTTTATTGTTTCAAATTATTTTAACATGATTGCATTAAAAAGTTTTTTGTCATAAAAGCATGATTCCCCCCATTTAAGCCTGTATGCACCGCCAGAAAAATATAAACTACAATTCATAAATGCATATCCAGTTCCTTCAGAAAATTAGTCATCTCATATAGTGGTATTCTGGCCAACTTGCGTATCAGACATAGATTTCGACACATTTCGCTCTATTCTTCGCTCTTCCTCAGGGGGATGGAGGTAACCAATCTAATAATAACAACTTACAATTACATTTCAATCCATAATATGTAAATAGGTTTATAACATTCATTATAACCATTTCATAAATTAATATTTGTGGCGACCAACCAATGGACATAAGGCCCCCCCGCCCGATAGATACCCACTACTTACCAGGACACCCCGTGTCCAAGAAGGACTTCACAGGAGAGGGAGAGAGAGGTGTGAACAGCCTCCAATCAAACTCCTATCCCACCCGAGCCGGGGACACCGGAACCAAAGGTGGAAAGGACACCCGCACAGCCAATTCACTTGTCACTTTTTGAGTAAGCCTCTAGTGTCCACCAAAGGCAAGAGACTTTGAGTATGCAAACTTCCTTATTCAAACCTGTTAAACCACACAAAATATCGCTAATGATCAAATCTTAATGGTTAATTGAATATCCTCTCTGTGGTATGCATCCTATATATTAACCACCTTGCCCTAGTTTAAATAATATAATATACCAGAAATCAACTAGACCTAAAGCTAGATATATCCAGGTAAAGACAGTAAAGCCCACTATTTGACAAGCCCCACACGTGAATATAGTACAATAAAAGTGGTATATCCACCTTTTGGATTAAAGACTATCCATCCAAAATCCCCCTTTCTTATATACTGACCAGAGAAAATAACTAATGTGGATGAAAGTAAAAGTGTAACAAAGGTGTATGTCAATAAAGCAATTAATAATAGGTATAGTAATGCATAATAAATAAAGAGGAAGATCCTAATTTAAGGATATCTTCCAATATATATTCCATGAATTACCACTTAAGATATAAATATATGTACATATATATATTTAATTGAAAAAAATATTTATAAGAATGTACAATCATTAAAGTGTGGCTATACATAGCTCTGCTTCCCCCTCCCCCTTATGATCCCCACCACCGACTTGACGTCAGGCATGTAAATTACATATGATGTCATCGGCGGTGCGGGTACCCACTGCGCCTACGTCCATATCTGGGCCTGGACTGAGCTATTCCCCAGCAACCGAGGACGTAAGTCGGCAGTCACGCCCCCCTCTTCCCACATAGCATGATGCAGTCACGGCCGCACAGCTACACCGTACAGGTCTCACCCACGACTGCATACAACGGCCCCGCCGAACCCCACAGCCCGACCAAGGCAGAGACAGGAAAACCAGGGTCCCCGAAACAGGAGGAGACGCCCCCCGTCTCCCATAGCTAGTACCACCCCCGGGCCAGGGGTCTCAATACACGGGAAGGCCAACACAAATAACGATCTGGCAGATATTTAAATAAACATATTGATCAAATCCATGATACAATTTTTAATACATTTCTTATACAGCCATCTTTTATTATTATTACAATAATCTCACGGAACATGAACCCCTTCCAGAATGGGTTTAAAATCAAGGTGCAGCAATGCCATCCCACTAAATTCCAAACTAAGTGTTATTTTACTATCACAAAGTTTTTATCAAAATTTCAAAAAGACAAGGAAATAAAATACACAAAGTATCTTGCATGACAAATACGGCTACACAGTCAAAGGTCATGAATCTGCATAGTAGTGGCTTTCTTGACAAATCAGATTATAGATGCTCACAAAGCAACAAACAAAAATGAACTTCACATAGTGAGCTCAAAATAACAATATTAGGAGACCAATAAGGGGGGGAGAGGTAAAAGTGTGGAAAGGAGAAAGAATAGAAAAAGATCAGAGAGGCATTCGGGACACGGCGAATATAAATCGGTATTGTAACAGAAACTCTTGGTTAAGGAGACTCAGAAATATACAAGTATTGCATCCACGGGTCCCATACCCGTTCAATTTTACTTCGGGTATCACTGAGGATGCTACTCAGCTTCTCATGTACCATTTTATCCACGACAATTTTAGAAATTACTTGTCTGAACGGAACGGCCTGGGATTTCCAGGCCTGTGCTAAGGAAATGTTGGCAGCCAGAAAAAAGAATGACAATATTTCAGCTTCGAACCTGGATAGACCGGGGACTGGACAATTCAATAAGACATACTGTGGGTCACTGGGTGGGCAGATCCTGAGTACCTTTTATAAATCAAGGCATAAAGTCTATTCCAGTATGGGCAGAGGCATGGGCATTCCCACCCAGTATGCAACATTGTTCCAGTAAGCCCGCATCCCCTGAAGCATAAAGGTGACTGACCAGGGTAGATAGCCGACAGTCTGGAGGGCACCATATACCAGCGCGAGAAGACTTTATAATTAGCTTCTATCAGGGATACGTTTAGCCATCCTTTCGACAACCTGGAACAACAGGTATGGCACAACTCCAAGGGCAGCTCAGTCTGCAATTCCCAGTAAAGCATATACAACAATTTGGAGGAGGAATTTAAAAAGAGTGGATAGAGGAGAGATATCCCCCCATGTGGCGTATTCGATTGCATACACCACCGTTTATACGGAATAAGTAGAAAAAAATAAATAGAAAACGATTGTGCGGATTTTTTTTTATTCTGACACGGCTCCGTGTCAGAATAAAAAAAAAAAAAAAAAGCTTCGGCTTTTACCTTGGCTCAGTTGAGCCGAAGCATATGCCTTCGGCTCGACTGAGCCGCTCGGCCGACTTCGGGAGCTGTACGGGCTATAGTGAATAGCCCGTACAGCAGCTCTTCGGTTCTACTAATATAGGGGTCTAAGGGGTCTAATATAGGGGTCTAAGGGGTCTGAATAGACCCCTTAGAACATTGGGGACAGATATAAGTGGAGATGTAACAAAGAGCAACAGGTCATCTGCAAAAAGTGTGCATTTATGCTCCACTCCCCCACAGATAACCCCTTGATATCAACATTGGTGGCAATGGCAAGGGGTTCTATCGCCAATGCAAAGAGCAATGACGACAAGGGGCATCCTTGTCGAGTGCCAGTAAAAACACCAAGGGTTCAGATAGCCTCGGATACGAATCTGTGCCGATGGGTTAGAGTATAGAGTGAGCAGTAGTCTAAGGAAAGATGGGCCAAAACCCCAGCGCTTCAGTAGAGTAAACATATAGAGCCAGGAAACCGAATCAAATTCCTTTTGTAAGTCAACGGATAACAACATGCCCTCCTGCCAGGACCCACCATTCCAGTTAGATTGTAGAAGATAAATAATATCAATTGCCCTCCTAATCTGGTCTGGGCCTTGACGTCCCATTATAAAACCCACTTGGTCCACGTGCATGTAGGAAGCCCAAAAAATGTTTAGTTGGTTAGCTAAAATTTTGGTCAAAAGTTTAAGGTCATTGTTTATTAATGTATAGGTCTATAATTGGAGATTTCACCCAGGTCCTTATTCAGCTTAGGTATCACACTAATAAAGGCTCGATTCAGGTCCGGGTCCTAAGGTGCTCCAGCATGGAGAGCATTGAGGAATGATGGGGAACCAGAGTATCCGCAAAATGTTTATAATACAGTGCGGAGGAACTATCTGGGTCCGTAGCCAAAGAGCTCTTAGCCTGTTTTATGGTCAGTCTTATTTCAGCCGGTGACATTGGTTCCTCCATGAGTTGACAATTTTCCGGGGACAGAAAGGTGAGGAGGAGTCCCTGAAAAAGGATTCCAGTGTCGAGGAGGGGGTCGCGGGTGGACTTTTATATAGAGAGGAAAAAAAGTAAATTTTTGGGATTCAGGGAATATATGCCAGATTTACAACGTATTCTAGGGGCAGAGTGTGTTCGAGGAGTCAGGGAGAGTTTGTGCGCAAGCAAGGTGCCAATTTTGTCTCTGAGTAGAATTTATTATCCGTCCAACGAAAGCTCTTTTCAGTGCGCGTAGTCAGTGTGCATGTTAGGTTCTAAGCGGGTAGTTTCCAGGCTGCGCTGTAGAGCAGGTGTCTGAGTGCGTTTATGGTTACAGGATAATTTTTGAATAGTAGCATTCAGTTCGGTTATGCGCTTCAGGGCCTGTTTTTTAAATTTGGAGGCATAGTCTATAAGCCAACCTCTGATAGTCGCTTTGTGCACTGCCCAGATCGTTATGGGGGACACAGTAGGTGTGACATTGAGTTGGAAATAAAAAGTGAGTTGAGATTCCAACATGGAGCACAGGGCCGGATCACTCGAGTGATTCGTTCAGCCTCCAACAAAATGACCTATCAGGGTCCCTCATGTGTGACATCGATAGGATAACCATAGAGTGATCTGACCAGGATATTTCTCAAATTTTTAGAGGAGGCGACCAAGGGCACAACCGAAGGGGACACAAGGAGATGGTTAATCCTCGCATAACTCAAGTGGGCCAGGGAATAGTGAGTATAGTCTTTCGCAGTGGGGTTCAGCTCTCTCCAAACATCAATCAAATAGTGGGAATGTAATAATCGGGCCAAACCAGTACCCAACTTGGAAATACGCTTAGCATGATATCTGTCCCCATGCGATAGATCTATGCAAAGGTCTAAGGCAATATTAGAGTCAACCCCACAGATCAGATTACCCGCCACATGAGGAAGGAGGGTTTGTAACATAGAACGGAAGAACGTCAGCTGGGCATTATTATGGGCATAATAGGAAATTAAATGTAAATGGGTGGTCCTCCAATGTAGCATTTCACCAATAAGTAGCGACCTTCAGGGTCCCCAATCTCCAGCTCAAGATGAAAGGGCACAGCCTTAGAAAAGCAAATCGCGTGGGGCGTGACTAGGCTGGATGAACATGACAGAGCTATTAGGGAACTCTGTGATGCAAACTGGCGGATGGCCATGGGGCAGCGAAATCTCCTCTACAAGGTGGAGGACCAGGAGAACCGCAATCTGCGGGATAATCTGCAGATTCGGGGCCTACCGGAGGCTACGGCCGACGCGGATCTCATTGCCTCCCTGCAAGGTATATTCAATACTATCCTGGGGAGACCGGTCTCTACACCCATACGCTTTGACAGAGCCCACAGGGCGCTGCGCCTACGTAATCTGTCGGACTCGGCTCCCCGAGATGTTATATGCAGATTTCACAACTATGGGGATAAGGAAGAAGTGTCCCGCAAGCTGAGGGGGATGTCAGCCATCGACTTTGATGGAGCCCAGCTCCACATATACCCGGACCTGGCCCGTGAAACCCTGGAGCGCAGATGAGCCCTGCGCCCTCTATTGGACCAACTGAGGAAGGATGGGATCATCTACCGTTGGGGCTTCCCAGCTAGCCGGATCGCCCGGAAAGGAGGCAGGTCTACCACCTTGCGCTTTCCGGAGGAACTGGAATCCTTCTGTTCTGAGCTCAACATCCCTGTACCTGAATTACCCGGCTGGGTCTGCGAGGTACCGGGCCCATCAGGTGACGCGACTGCAACTTGGCGCACACCATCCAAGAAAAGGCGTTCTGGAAGACCATAAGCATCCGCAGGACATGGGTGAGACGGGACTCTGTCCTCATGTTCTTTCTTTTACCGTTATGTGATACACACGACCACTGGATAAGTGGTAGTTAGTTGGATCGCAAGCTCAACGAAATGTCTGAGCATTACCTCAGATACTGTACACATCTGGGTTTCGGATCGCTTTTCAACTTTTGTTTTTCTGTTTTTTTTTTCTTTTTTTGAATTTTCTCTCTCTTACGGCATAAGTTTACCGTTTGCGGTTGATGCATGTTGCATCGAAGGTTATTGTAAAAGACATATCGGGCTGTGGGCTAGGGCCTGCTCCACGTGCACTAAAGTGGACGTTTCACCGTTTGGACTCACCTGCTCAGCAGGTATGGGTGGTTGACAGCTATTCCATCGGCTGTTAACCAATTGTTCTTCATGTTGTTTAAATGTACTGCTTGTCTACCTGTATGTCTATGTCCCCCTCCTACCCTCCCCTCCCACTGCCTCTCCTTTGTATGTTTGTCTTCTCGATGTAGGAATGTTACTGTATCTCACATTGTGCTGTGCCGCAGGGGTGCTCCTGACTCACCATGGCAACTGTAAACTTGACCTCTTATAATGTAAGAGGTCTGAACACCCCAACCAAACGACACCAGGTCTTAAAGGAACTTCATAGACTATCTAGCGACATAGTGTTTCTCCAAGAGACACACCTCTCGCATTGTACCAACACGCGCTTGTTCTCTTATCGCTATCCCACATGGTATTATAGCCTCTCAGATTCCAACAGGGCTAGAGGAGTTGCCATTGGTGTTTGCAGGGGCACTCCTTTTGTACTATCTGAAATGAAAGTGGATGATGGGGGAAGATTTGTATTCCTGAAGGGAACTCTAGGCAACACCTCATGTACATTGGCATGTATATATTGCCCAAACCAAAATCAAATTGGCTTTCTTACCAGGACGCTTAACAGCCTCCTGGACTTTGTCTCAGGGGTCCTACTGGTGGGGGGGGACTTTAACCTGGCATTGGAACCACACTTGGACGTATCCTCAGGCCGCTCAGCAATCTCCTATAGTAAATTATCCTGCCTCAAAACATTCTTACACAAAGCACAACTAATAGACACATGGAGGTTTCACAACCCGTCTGGCAAAGACTATTCACATTATTCCGCCACCCATAAGATTTATTCGCGCATAGACATGATCTTTATTGATCATCTTCACCTACACTTGGTCAAATCGACCTCAATAGCCCCTAGGACGTTATCGGACCATTCCCCAGTTCTGACTTCCCTCACCTGGCCATCCTTACCAGTTAAATCCAATAATTGGAAATTGAATGAATACTTACTGAATTGCCCCGTCTCCAGAGCGCAGCTGACAGAGGAATTACAACTCTATTTTCAGCAAAACTCCTTACCTGGATCCTCGCCGGCTGTGGTCTGGGAGGCGCACAAAGCTGTGATCAGAGGTAGATTGATAGAACTGGGAACGAGGAAAAAACGGGAGGCAGAACGGGAAATGCAGTCCCTACTGACACAAATTAAACACCTAGAACGCCTTCATAAACGCTCTTTACAACAGGCACACCAACAGTTGCTCCAAAAGTGTAGGGAGGACCTGAAAAAAATTCTAGACCGAAACACAGCCCGTAAATTTATGTGGATGCGCCAGCGAAACTATGAGTGGAGCAACAAACCCTGGAGACATCTGGCCCGCTCTTTGCGCCTTAAACAGTCATCAACGTTCATTCCCAAAATTAAGACTAAGGGGGATAAACTGGTACATCTCTCCCAAGACATTGCCAAGGTGTTTAGCGAGTATTATCGCACCCTATATAATGTGGCAGACACTCAAACGCCTCCTACCATTGGGCCGCAGCACAGGAAAGATCTAATAGATCAGTACTTAAGTAAGGCTCACCTCCCCACACTCCCGGAGGCTGAGTTGGAGGCAGACTTTACAGAGGAGGAGTTTACAAAAGCATTACATATGATGGCTACGGGCAAGGCTCCTGGCCCAGACGGGTTCACTCTTACATATTACCGCACTTTTAAAGATATTCTGCTACCTCGTCTGACCTGCTATGCCAACTCTCTCACCTCGGGCGGGGAGTTACGGAAGGAAACAACCCTAGCGCATATCACTGTCCTACCCAAACCGGGGAAGGACCCTACCTGCTGCCCTAGTTACAGGCCTATATCGTTATTGAATGTAGATATCAAATGTAGATACCATTTGACTCAACACGGGAAACCTCACCCGGCCCAGACACGGAAAGGATTGACAGATCGATAGCTCTTTCTCGATTCTGTGGGTGGTGGTGCATGGCCGTTCTTAGTTGGTGGAGCGATTTGTCTGGTTAATTCCGATAACGAACAAGACTCCTCCATGCTGACTAGTTACGCGACCCCCGGCGGTCCGTGTCCAACTTCTTAGAGGGACAAGTGGCGTTCAGCCACACGAGATTGAGCAATAAGGGGGAGTATGGTTGACGAACCAAAAGGAAAGCATTTGCCAAGAATGTTTTCATTAATCAAGAACGAAAGTCGGAGGTTCGAAGAAGATCAGATACCGTCGTAGTTCCGACCATAAACGATGCCGACTAGCAATCCGGCGGCGTTATTCCCATGTGCCGCCGAGCAGCTTCCGGGAAACCAAAGTCTTTGGGTTCCGGGGGGAGTATGGTTGCAAAGCTGAAACTTAAAGGAATTGACGGAAGGGCACCACCAGGAGTGGAGCCTGTGGCTTAATTTGACTCAACACAGGAAACCTCACCTGGCCCAGACACTGAAAGGATTGACAGATCGATAGCTCTTTCTCGATTCTGTGGGTGGTGGTGCATGGCCGTTCTTAGGGTCTACGGCCATATCACCCTGAAAGCCCACGATCCTGTCTGATCTCGGAGGCTAAGCAGGGTGGGGCCTGGTTAGTACCTAGATGGGAGACCGCCTGGGAACACCAAGTGCCATAGACTCATCCTCTCAGAGGCTGCCCTGGATGATGACTGGGGAAAACCTAAGTTAGGTACCTGGTAACTTATTTTCCAGGAATCGTCCAGGGCAGCATGGATTCCCGCCCTGTTTATTGAGTGGTGTGTTTCAACATGAGTTTCATTGTTACTGCCTGGTGGTCCTTTCCGGCCTTCGGTTCTATGATAATACTGAGGTGGTTAGGAGGGACCGCCATGCATTTCCATTCACATGCAACGGCGCTCTTTAAAATGCCTAGGGATCAATTACACGTTAGAACTACAAGATATGTTCAAATACAATTATATGCCCCTCTTGAATGCTATTCGTGCGGACTTGCATAGATGGTCCCCTCTCTACCACTCCTGGTTGGGCAGAGTGAATGCCATTAAGATGAATGTGTTGCCGAGACTCCTATTTCTGTTCCATATGCTCCCCATGGGGGTCCCACCCTCTTATTTTACTTTATTACGTTCCCTGGTATCTAGATTTATTTGGAGGAACAGGAGAGCGAGGATATCATATAACATTCTAACCAGACCGAAATCATTAGGGGGAGTGTCCTTGCCAGACTTTAGGAGATATTATAGAGCTGTGTCCCTAGCCAGAGTCCTGGATTGGCATTATGCTGGGGAAATGAAGCTCTGGGTACAAATGGAGGCTGCAGTGAGTCGCACGACACTGTGGAAGGTCTGCTGGATCCCACAGAAATATAGAAAGTTATCTCCAGAAGCTCATCCCCTAACGAATACTACCCTATCCATCTGGGACGCACTCCATTCCAAACAAAAATGGTCATACAACTCCCCCCTGATGCTCCTATTGGGCCATATGTACTTCCCGCCGTGGCTCCTAGACGGGGGGCATCGCGCATGGATCCAGGAGGGCTCTGAGCTATTGCTACATCAGGTCATACAGGAAGGGAGAATCAAACCCTTCTCCTCCCTGTGCAGCTCGCCTAGACCCTTCTTCATGGACATGTGGCGATATGGGCAGCTGTCGCACTTCGTGGGACAACTCCCCTCACCACTGAGATCCAAACGGGACCTGAACCCATTGGAACTGCTCTTCCCAGCGGATTCAGTCCCTACTAAGAGCATCTCCTCCATGTACGATGTCTTGTCGCGTTTGGATGCCTCCTCTCACCCGCCCTATTTGGCGATCTGGGAAAAAGAGCTGGACAGCCCCCTTACTGAGAGACGCAGGGCACGTGTCTTGGCCTTCTCAAGAGGGGTGAGCAGATCCTCAGGCATGCAGGAGCTCCATTATAAGCTGTTATGTCGGTGGTATTACACTCCTCAGAAAATGCACCATATCGATAGTTCAGAGACCCCGCTGTGTTGGAGAGGCTGTGGACAGGTGGCCACACATGCTCATATATGGTGGCAATGCCCCAAAATAACACCCTTCTGGCGGCAGGTAGCTGATGAGATGTTCCACATACAGGGAACAGAGGTACACCTTGACCCCTGGGAGATGCTGTTTCATGGTGCAGAGGGATCAATGGGCCGCTATGCTCGTTCCATAACACCACATTTACTCAATGCAGCTAAAGCATTAATTCCGGCCAAATGGAAGAGTGAGTCTGCTCCTACCCTGTTGGAGTGGTTAGACAGGGTGGAAAAGATTTACTGCATTGAGGAACTTACTCTTACCGAACCTGACCAAACAGAACGCCTGTCGAAAACATGGGCGTGTTGGGTAGCTTATAAGACGACTCCAGCATACCTCACCAAGAAGAGGTTATAGGTTTCGGTGAGTCGACGACCATAAGGAGTTGGGTTAACAAAACAAAAAAAAACAAAAAAAAAAGAACCTCTGCAATAGCAAACACAGAAAAGACCTAGGTCATTGGTGTTCACTTTAGGGACCTACAGCTCAATGACTAGGCATGGGCAACAGCACAACCACTGTATAACTTATGACAGATCATATATATTATGTGTAATGTGAGAAATGATCCTACAACTTCACACCCCCATACCCCACCTACCCTTCCACCCAGTTAACCCCCATACCCTCCCCTGCTTTCCTCCCACCTCCCCGCAATCAAGCCTTTTAGGCTCAAGGCTTATTATGCTAATGCAAGATTTTAGGATAAGTTTAATGTGTTGAGCAAAATACGTACTGATATATGTATTACGATCACTCTATGGCTGATTGTTTCCCTTTTAATGTGTGTTTATGTGTAATTCTGCTTTTTGTACTTTGTACTTTTGTATGAAAACTTCTTTCAATAAAAACTTATTATACAAAAAAAAAAAGAAAAGCAAATCGCTACTCCTTTAGTCTTATCGACCGCATTGGCCAGATAAAACTGTGGATAGTGTTTGTGCAAGAACTTAGGCTGATATGAAATGGGGAAATGCGTCACTTGCAGAAACACAACATCCACATGTTGAGAATGATAGTAGTTAACCCTTTCGCTGCCAAGCCCTCCGGAACATTTTTCAAATCAGCTGGACAAGCCATTTTTGCATTTTTTGCAATGTTTGATTGATTTGATTTTCAACTGCTGGGTTGCTAGCGTTTGTAAAAGACCCCCCAAACCATATATTTTCTGAAAGCGCAGGCCCGGTAGAATAAAAAGATGGTGATACTAAATTTGTAGGCCCTGCGATAATTGCGCAAATGTTTCTCAAATTAATATTAAACCGATAAAAATACACAATTCAATTGCTAAAACACACCAAAATCAGTATCCGTGCACAAAAAAAATAATTTTCTGACTAAATCTAAAAGATAAAACTGTATTGAGTTAATAAATAACAAATATTAGCAAATTTGTAATTGCGCCTTTTTGCGAAAAGGTAAAAAAATTACGGTACGAAAAACTGTAAATAAGCGACTTATGTTAAATTGTTTTCACGCTGTGTTGGTGTTTGTTGTGATAAAATGATACAGGCGTATATTTATTGCAACACAAAGATCACAACGCATGGCAATGCGTCACAAAGCTTTGCCATGCGCTGCCACAGTTAATTTAATTTTTTTTAAAAGAAAAAAATACATTAAAAAAATCATGCACTGCGATGCGTTCTAACAACGCACTGCAGCGCATGTGCATGGCGTACACCTCAATATGTGTATGTTATGTGGGGGGAGGGAGGGGTTGTGCTTTTTTTTATTATTTTTTTTGTACACATTTTTTTATTTTATTTTTTTTTTACATTTTTATTTTTTTATTTTTTTTTTTTTTACATTTTCTATTTATTTTTTAATAATTTTTTATTTTTATTTTTTTACTGTTGGGGGGGCTGCGGCGAAATATCTGGGGTCTAAATAGACCCCTGACATTTCCCTTTTGAAATAGAAAAAAAAATTGAGGACATAAGTCCTCAATTTCTTTTTCTGCAGCCCCAGCATTCAATGAATGGGAAGCACTCAGTACAGAGGCTTCTCATTCATTCACAAACTAATGATAGTAAAAATATCTTACTATCATTAGTTTATGAATGGGGAGGAGCCTCTGTAGTGAGTGCTAGTCCCCATTCATAAATTCTTGAATGAACAGGCTGTGATGTAGATCACAGCCTGTTCATTCATAACTGGGGACACATAGTCCCCTCAGACGATCACTCCGGTGTTTGCTGTAAACAGAGGGATCGTTAAATATCAATGATATTTAACGATCCCCCGCTCGGCCACGCTACAGAGCCGCTGTCATCCAAAAACTGACAGGATGACAGCGGCTCCGATCACTATGCCGCTCGGACATCCTGAATTGCGGCCAGCTGCCGCTTGCTCCCGGGACCCCCTATATGGGAAGTACGGAGTCCCGGATCTTAGGAAAGAAAAACAAGAAAGAGAGGAGGAGGAGAACAGGGAAAAGACAGGGGGAGACACAAAACGAAACAAAAAAAACCCATACAGTGCAACATGGGTGAGGAAGTCATCCCCACTCCAAAATACTCCAGAAGTTCAGCACAAAGGCGACACAGGGATTGGTGTAGGCAGAGGGAAAACAGCCCCAGGCCTAAACAAATCCAAGGCGCACGGCCACCTGCAACGGCCGAGCCCCACCCCATAGCATAGATAACTAAAGATACATTTTCGTAAGGCAGCAGATAGCAATAATCGCAAAGTATGAACATTTTACCAATAGTGACCCTGTAGTCTGTATAAAACTGAACTATAGAGAATAAAGTCACTTGGAGTGGAATAAGAACTGGAACTATTATAATGGCATGTATATAAAAACACAACAATCACAACAATTGGCACTCAATATCATATAACCAGTTTATATGAAAAAGAGCATATAAACGGCACAGAAGCCTCATCCAGGATTGAGAGTTGATGAAGACTTGCGGTTTCCGACTTGACTCCATAGCGGAGAGAGTGGTCTTGAGAAAGCCCCCTGACGCGAAAGTTGTATTGCGTGACCTGTTGTCAATTTTAGACAGGGCCTCTTCCAGCTGGCCATGTAAGTCCTGAATACAGGTGGTATTTTGGTTAGCGTGGGCAACCGTATTGTCCAATTTAGATTCCAAAGCGTCAATTCGGGTGCCCAGGGCTTGAAGATCTGATCTGATATCTGTAGTAATTCTTATGGCCATTTTATTGAGGCCCATATCAAATAAATCAGATATTCTTGACAGCAATGCAGGACAGGCAGGCATGCCCACAGCATCTGGGCCTTCTCCAGCATGCCCAGGCTCAGGGGAGAGGACACATGTTGGGACAGGAACATGTCCTCTAGCGTTCTCTCTATGAGAGACGAAGTGGAGCCAGGGGACCTGCGGACATCAGGCATGTTACCTGCAGGAGCCGGATCACCGCTGTCTGGACGGTCGTCGGCGTCCTGGGTGGAAGGAGACATGCGGCCTGCAGGTGAAGAAGAGACGGGCGCCAGAAGATTTAGAGTCCCCAGCGTTTT